CTTCGGATGTGACAAATTTTTGCTGTCATCTCTTAAGGCAGTGGTGGCGAACCTATGGCAGGCGTGCCAGAGGCGGCGCTCGGAGCCCTCTCTGTGGGCACACGTGCCGTTGCCCCAGCCCCGCCTCCCCCCACGGCCCCCTCCTCACTAGCAACCCTCCGGAGGAGAGTCGCCCCTGGGCTCAGCCCACGCAATGCTGCGCAGCCAAGGATAGCCTTGAAAACCCATCTATTCCATGCGGCCGGCCTGGCGTAGTTTTGATTGTGTTTTGATAGGGGTTTTTATATGGGATATTTTAGAGCAGGCTTTTTATTTAATATTTATCGTGATTTTTAGTATTGCCCGTTCACCGCCCTGAGTCCCGTAAGGGAGATAGGGCGGTATATAAATTTAAATAAATGAATGAATGAATGAATGAATGAATGAATGAATGAATGAATGAATGAATGAATAAATAAATAAATAAATAAATAAATAAATAAATAAATAAATAAATAAATAAATAAATAAATAAATAAATAAATAAATAAATAAATAAATAAATAAATAAATAAATAAATAAATAAATAAGGTAGCCGGGCAGAGGGGACAACACTCCTCCGCCCTTGCACCCCATCGCACGCAGATAATGCTGCAGGGCACGAGCGTGGCCACCATGGCGCTGCTGGCCTGCCTGGATGACCTGTGGCAGGCCATGGAGGTGGTGGGTGGTCCAGCGGGCACGGTGGAGCGGGGACAGGGGTGGGGGGTGGTTTTTGCGCACTCAGTCTCTAAAAGGTTCGCCATCACTGTCAGGTGATGTCATTGAATAAACGGTCGTTAAGTGAGGAGCATCTGTACTTCACACCGGGGGGGGGGGTGGTGCCTCTTTAGCAAGGCTTCTCTTGATGTTTGGATCAGGTGAGCAGACTCATGCTTGGGAAGACAGTCTCTGATATGTGCTACACACTGTATAGGTGTGTCTGTGTGTGTGTGTGTGATGTGTGTTGGTTTATAGGGGATAGCCAGCACTTCCATGTTTCATATTTACCAATATTCAGAAATGACAGCTCTGCCACCTCTTTCCTTTCTGCTGAGTAAGCTCTGTGGATTCTTTTGCCGTCTTCCCCCCCCCCCTTTAAGATGTAAATTAAGCACACACAGGTGATGTTAAAAAAACAACAACCAGCTGTCTAAAGAACCCACCGCTTTTAATCTTTTATGCCATTATCTTCATTGTCTTTTGATTTTTTTTGATGTAATTATTTTAATTGCGCGGGAAGACAAACCATTAGTTGTGCAGAATTTGGTGGCTTCTCAATCCCAGCCTTCCCTGCTTCTTAGAAAAACCACATCCTGTACAAAATTCTCCCTCCCACATTCCACACTCTCCAGAAACTTTAAATGTTATTTTGGAAGTCATTTTAACCACTCAAGTGCCTTCCTTCCTTCCTTCCTTCCTTCCTTCCTTCCTTCCTTCCTTCCTTCCTTCCTTCCTTCCTTCCTCCCTCCCTCCCTCCCTCTCTCTCCCTCTCTCTCTCTTCCTTCCATAGCTATATAGCTGACAGCAATGGGTTTTTTTCTCTGCAAAGATTTGGCTCCAATATTTTTATTCTCTATACTGTAAAAAGTTTTTGANCCTTCCTTCCTTCCTCCCTCCCTCCCTCTCTCTCCCTCCTTCCTTCCTTCCTCCCTCCCTTCCTTCCCTTCCCTTCTCCCTCCTTTCCTCTCTCCCTCTATGACTTGAAGCAACCAACATTGGCTTAAAACAACAGTCAAGAAGTATCCCCCCCCCAACAGAAATAAAACGCAGTGTATCAATGCCAATCTTCAACGCAATAACCCTAAAGATGGGCTTACTTAGACCCTGGCCCAGGACCCAAGGCGAATGGCACATTTTCAAAGCGTTACAAAACACCAACAGGGTTGGGGCCTTCACAGTTCAGGTGGGGGCAGGCTGACTCACAGAGCAGGCCTTGTGACAAATGAGGCACATCTCCTCGGTCCTACCTGATGACATGGTTTAATAAGAGAGACTTGGAACATTCCCGGACCTTAAAGGATGGGTAGAAATAGTCAGAGATTGATGGTACAAGAAATACAGGTAGTCCTCAAATTACAACCATTCGTTTAGCGATTGAAGTTACGACGGCACTTGAAAAAAAAGTGACTTGTAACCGTTTTTCACACTTAGGACCATTGCAGCATCCCTTAAGGTCACATGATCAAAATCCAGACGCTTGGCAACTGACTCGCATTTATGACGGTCGCAGTATCCGGGGTCATGTGATTCCCCCTTCTGCGACCTTCTGACAAGCAAAATCAGTGGGGAAGCCAGCTTCACTTAACAACCCATGTTACTAACTTGACAGCTGCAGTGATTCACTTAACAGCCGTGGCAAGCAAGGTCGTAAAATGGGGCTTAACTGACTTAACAACGGTCTTGCTTAGCAATGGAAATTTTGAGCTCAATTGTGATTGTAAGTCGAGGACAGCCTGTATCTTTCCACGAAGTGCTTTATGGGATGGTAGGTGGCTCTTTTGAGTTGTACCCAGAAGCTGACTGGGAACCGGTGAATTTCTAATTCCGTCCCTTCATTTAGAAGCGAAAAAAAAAGACTGGGTGGGTGGGCTGCTCATAGTTTTATTTAACATGCAAACAGCTCAATCCCTTTTTCTCTTCATCCTGGACTAATCATCTGCATTTTTGTCTCGAAAGTCGTGCCTGAGTGTTTTGTTTCTTTCTCGTTTCAGATTTTCTATTTTGTACATACATTGATTTGTATATACTGTATATGATGACTTCGGTGGGCAGTGAACGTACTCGGGGCACTCGAGAAAAAACACAGATTCCAGCCACGCAACTGACACAACCCCAGAAACCAGTAGTCCAGGTAGGAATTTGGCAACGTTGACTCCATGTCCTTAGCCTATAAATGTTAATGGACAAGCAAGAATGTCATGCTTGTGAAGTGTATAATTACATTTTCTGTAGATATGAGGTGTGGGTGCCCCAAAACCAGCACCAAAGTTTGAAGACTTATTTCTTGTTGTGTTTTTCAGCGTGCCTATACAGGTAAGTCCTTGACTTACAACATACAGTTCATTTAGTGACTGTTCAAAGTTAAAACAGCACTGAAAAAAATTGTCATTATGACCATTTTTCACACTTTCAACTGTTGCAGCATCCCCACGGTCACATGATCAAAGTTCAGAAGCTTGGAAACTCATCTTTATGACGGCTGCAACGTCCCAGGGTCACGTGATCCCTTTTTGCAACCTTCTTACAAGCAAAGTCAATGGGGAAGCCAGACTCGCTTAACAACCGTGTAACTAACTTAACAACTTAACAACAGATTCACTTAACAACTGTGGCTTAGAAGGCAGGACAAGAAGCAACGGATGGAAACTAATCAAGGAGAGAAGCAACCTGGAACTAAGGAGAAACTTCCTGACAGTGAGAACAATTAACCAGTGGAACAACCTGCCTCCAGAAGCGGTGAATGCTCCAACACTGGAAGTTTTCAAGAAGAGACTGAACAGCCATTTGTCTGAAATGGTATAGGGTTTCCTGCCTGATCAGGGAGTTGGACTAGATCACCTCCAAGGTCCCTTCCAACTTTATTATTATTATAGAAAGATCATTCAGACTAGAAAGTTCTGACTTTCCAATTCTGGAAAGAGACTTTGATGGCTCCTAAAGTCTTTGAGAATCAGAGCAGGATGTAGCCCTCGAGAACAGATCACCACCCGCTTCAAATCTGTGCTCGGGCGTGAATGACGACTCCAATCTCGGCTCGAGTACTTCTGTGGGGATATGACACAGCGGGGAAAGCCACTTCCAAGAGCAATCAGCACAGCATTAGAGCTGTGTAGAAAGGTCAAGGGCTGAACGAGAAGGTATTTTTCCTGTAGCTATAACAAGGAATCACACAGTGCTGTTACCTCTGCTTTATTGAGCTTCGCTAGGTACAAGTCGTCCTTGACTTATGACCAACAATTGAGCCCAACATTTATGTTGCGAAGTGAAACACTTGTTAGGTGAGTTTTGCCCCGTTTTACGTTCTTCCTTGCCACTGTTGTGAAGTGAATCATTGGAGATGTTAAGTTAGTAGTAGTAGTAGTAGTAGTAGTAGTAGTAGTAATAATAATAATAATAATAATAATAATAATAATAATAATAATAATAATAATAATAATAAAGTTGGAAGGGACATTGGAGGTCATCTAGTCCAACCCCCTTCTCAGGCAGGGAACCCTATACCATTTCGGACAAATGGCTGTCCAGTCTCTTCTTAAAAACTTCCAGTGTTGGAGCATTCACCACTTCTGGAGGCAGGTTGTTCCACTGGTTAATTGTTCTAACTCAGGAAGTTTCTCCTTAGTTCTAGGTTGCTTCTCTCCTTGATTAGTTTCCATCCATTGCTTCTTGTCGTGCCTTCTTCAGGCGCTTTGGAGAATAGCTTGACTCCCTCTTCTTTGGGGCAGCCCCTGAGATATTGGAACACTGCTATCATGTCCCCCCTCATCCTTCTCTTCGTTAAACTAGACTTTCCCAATTCCAGCAACCGTTCCTTATATGTTTTAGCCTCCAGCCCCCTAATCATCTTTGTTGCTCTTCTCTGCACTCTTTCTAGAGTCTCAACATCTTTCACTTAACATGGGTTGTTAAGTGAATCTGGCTTCCGCATTGATTTTGCTGATCAGAAAGTCCTAAAAGGGGATCTCATGACCCTGGGACGCTGCAAATGTGAAGTAGTTGCCAAGCATCTGAATTTTGATCACGTAACCAAGGGGAGGCTGCAATGGTCGTAAGTGTGAAAAATAGTCCTAAGTCAGTCTTCTCAGTGCTGTTGTAACTTTGAACGGTTCCTAAATGAACTGTGGTAAGTTGAGGACTATCTATACCAGGGGTAGGTAACCTTGGCTCTTTTATGACTCGTGGACTTCAACTCCCAGAATTCCTGAGCCAGCCATGCTGAGGGAAAAGGGAGAAGTTTCCAAGCTGAGCCATGCTGGCTCAGGAATTCTGGGAGTTGAAGTCCACGAGTCATAAAAGAGCCAAGGTTGCCTACCCATGATCTATACAATCTTTTAATCAGCCTCCTAGCCAAAGTGGGCCTGATTTACTGCCTGACCAGTTGGCTATCATGATGTGTTTGCATCCCAAAGACCAGCTGAGTAAGCAGAAAAAGCCAAGTTACTCCAGAGAAGCACACGCAAGCGAGAAATATTTGTGATGCACTGTGTATATATTATATTTTTATTTTATATTTTATTAAATTTATACCCCGCCCTTCTCCCGGAGGACTCAGGGCGGCTTACAGCCAGTTTAAAACAATGATACAAAACAGTACAAAATTTAAAAATGATTAAAAATAAATATTCAAATTTGGCCGCTTCTTCTAAAAATTTGATTAAAACCAATTTAAAATCCACTAAAATTCCCTAGGCCAGACCTGCTTGTTGAAAAAGCCATGTCTTTAGGGCGCGGCGGAAGGAGGGGAGATCCGGGATCACCCGGATCTCTGGGGGTAGTTCGTTCCAGAGGGTGGGGGCTCCCACCGAGAAGGCCCTCCCCCTGGGGGTCGCCAGCCGGCACTGTCTGGCTGACGGCACCCTGAGGAGACCCTCTCTGTGGGAGCGTACCGGCCGATGGGAGGCAACCTGGGAGATTTCATCCTGATAACACTTAAATATGGGCCAGAGAGTGAATTCTACCCACAGAACACTCTATGCAGGAAGATGCTGTGGACAGGAACTGGTGAGCATTGGTAAAATACAGGTAGTCCTCGACTTATAACAGTTCATTTAGCGACCGTTCAAAGTTTCAGCTGTACTGGAAAAGGTGAGTTATGACCATTTTTCACACTTAACGACCGTTGCAGCATCCCCATGATCATATGATCAAAATTCAGAGGGTTACAGTGTCCTCAGGTCATGTGATCCCTTTTTGCAACCTTTCTGACAAGCAAAGTGAATGGGAAAAGCCAGATTGACTTAACAACCGTGTCACTAAGTTAACCGCTGCGTCAATTCCCTTAACAATTGTGGCAGAAAAGGTTGTAAAATGGGGGCAAAATTCACTTAAGTGAATTTCACTTAACAAAAAGTTTGGGCTCTGTTGTGATCGTAAGTCGAGGACTATCTGTACTCTCTCAACTTGTGGCAGTGAGGAAAAGCTATAATGAAACGTCGTGGAACCCAGCATGCTGTCCTCCTCTTGCTATTTTAATTTTTCTGGCAACTGGATGACCTCAAGAGCTGCTTAGCACAGCAAAAATGAGGCCTCCAATTAGAGCAGTAACCGAAACCCGTCTTCAGATGCCGTCGAATGGATTGTCCTTCTTCAAATTTCAAGCTTAGAAATGTCTTGTTGTTTTTTCCTAAATGCTTCCTCAGTTTGTGCTTTTTTTGCCCCCGGAGTTTTGGGCTAGTCAAAAAGTAACAAACCAGGACAAAGAAAATTCAGTTTTGTTTACTACCGTTATGTTTGCAAGCTTCTTGTCCACGCGGGAGAATTCTCAGCTGTTATCCCCAACTGGCATAACGTGTAGTCTTGCTACAATTTCCTTTTGCTAAATTTCATAAATTAGAGCTGGGGCATTGAAATGAAAAAAAAATGCAAATATATTGAGTGGTGTGGTTTAACTTTGGCCAGAAACTATATGTGTGGACTCTTAATGGATGCCAGGTGGGTTTCCTGGTCTAATCAAACTAGTTTACATCCAGTTCAAGCCATAGTTTTGAGTACATTTGCAGTTCTGTTTAGATGGTAAGTGCAAATCATCAACTGGCGTTTGTATTCATTGGCTAAAGTAGCTCCACTGGGAGGTATAGCCCGCTGGAAAAGCCCATTTATTTATTAAATTTTCATGTCACCAATCTCCCCTGGAAATGACTAAAGGGAGCTTACAGCTAAGTACTGTATAGGTACTCCTCGACTTACAAGTTGCAATGGCACAGAAAAAATTGATTTAATGACCATTTTTCACACTTACGGATCGTTCTGGCATCTCCATGGTCACATGATCAACATTCAGATGCTTGGCAACTGGCATGTATTTATGACAGTTACAGTGTCCCAGGGTCACGTGATCCCCTTTTGCAATCTTCTGACAAGCAAAATCAACAAGGAAGCCAGATTCGCTTAGCAGCCGTCTTCCTAACTTTAACAGTTGCATTGATTCACTGAACAACTGGGGCAAGAAAGGCCATAAAGTGGAGCAAAGCTCACTTAACAACTGTCTTGCTTAGCAACAAAAAATCTGTAAAAACAAGATAAAACATTCACATATTAAAATGATAAATAGCATGTATTTGTTTGCCAGGAGACAAACTTAAGAGCGAGGGAAAAGATGATGATGAACATATTTTTTCTATACCATCCCAAAAAAGCAATAACTTACAGCCATCCACCATTGTTTATTTTCTAAATAAAAGCTCACAGGATCCAGAGGCATCTGGATAATGATAGGATCCAAAGGCATCTGGATAATGAAGATTACATTGTTTTACAGCATAGCAGCTTCCCATTCTTTTTATGATGATTTAAATGGTGTTTTTTTTTTAACCAGTTGGACCATGAAGCCTAAAAGCCAACACAGGAGGTTATCTAAGGGCCAGTCATGCTAATCTGAGATTCTACACCTCCAATAACTTCTTATTTTGTTTTCTAACATAATTATAATTGCCTCCGCCTAAAGGAGAGACGATTTAGTGTTAAGACCAATCCAGGTTACTGTTGTTGTTCAGCCAAGTGTTATTCAATGGACCATCCTTAATGTGATGTGCTTAAAGCCATTATAAGAACTCACAGATTTAGACCACCCTCCTCTCCCCCACCCTCTTACAAGCACAAAAGCCCTTAAGGCCTTTTAACTGTGGTTGGGAGTGCTGATTGTGGCTCCTAATCAGGTAGCTTTGAAATATATTTCATTTGATAAAATGTTATCAGCCCCTTTTACTGTGCCGTGTTAAAGCTCGTATCCCGAGAACTGTTTTCTGTTGGACTGTTGTTAGGAGTGGTTTATTTTTTCAACACTTGCTTATAATCTGCAATGGGGTTGCTGGACAGGGAAAAAACACAGAAAAAGTCTTATTCCCCCCCCCCTCGAATTAAAAATAGAACAGTAAGCTGCAGGAGAGTGAGCAGTGGGGGGGAATTATAGGTAGTCCTCACATGCTTGTATGGAAAAGACAGCTATGGGCCGTCCTCAACTTACAACAGTTCATTTAGTGACTGTCCAAAGTTATAATGGCACTGAAAAAAGTGACATGAAAATTTTTCACAATTAACGACCATTGCAGCATCCTCACGGATATGTGATCAAAATTCAGATGCTTAGCAACTGACTCATCTTTATGACGGTTTCAATGGCCTGGGGTCACATGATCCCATTTTGCAACCTGACAAGCATTGGGGAAGCCAGATTCACTTAACAACCGGGCAACTAACTCAACAACTGCAGTGATTCACTTAACGAGCGTTGCAAAAAAAAACTTAACACGTTTTGCCTCATAAAATGGGGCAAAAGTCACTTAGCAAGCTCTTCACTTAGCAACATAAAACTTTGGCTTCCATTATGGTCGTAAGTCGAGGACTCTGTGCAGTATACTTATTTTGCATGCAGATTTGTGTCTTATATTTCATGGATGCTTTTGCATTTTTCAGGCCACAGCCGAGCAGATTCGCCTGGCCCAAATGATATACGATAAGAACGACAGAGACTTTGAGGATAAAGTGAAACAAGTAAGTTTCCATCCCAACTTTGAGAGAGACAGACAGACAGACAGACAGACAGACAGACAGACAGACAGACAGACAGACAAAGAGAGAGAGAAAGACAGAGGAAGAGAGGGGGGGGAGAGACAGAGAGAGAGGAAGAGAGAGAAAGACAGAGAGAAAGAGAGGGGGAGAGAGGAAGAGAGAGAAAGAGAGAGAGGGGGGAGAGAGAGAGAGAGAGAAAGACAGAGAGAAAGAGAGGGGGAGAGACAGAGAGAAAGAGACGAGGGGGAGAGAGACAGGAAGAGAGAAAGACACAGAGAGAGAAAGACGGGGAGAGAGGAAGAGAGAGGAAGACGGGAGAGAGAGAGAGGAAGAGAGAAAGACAGAGAGAGAAAGGGAGGAAGAGAGAAAGACAGAGAGAGAGAAAGGGGGGGAGAGAGACAGGAAGAGAGAAAGACAGAGAGAAAAAGAGGAGGGGGAGAGAGAGACAGAGAGGAAGAGAGAAAGACAGAAAAAGGGGGAGAGAGACAGAGGAAGAGAGAAAGACGGGGAGAGAGACAGGAAGAGAGAGAAAGACAGAAAGAGGGGGCAGAGAGACAGAGAGGAAGAGAGAAAGAGGGGAGAGAGACAGAGGAAGAGAGGGGGAGAGAGACAGAAGAAGAGAAAGACAGAGAAGGGGGCAGAGAGACAGAGAGAGGAAGAGAGAAGGGGGGGAGAGACAGAGGAAGAGACAAAGAGAGAGGGGGGAGAGAGACAAAGAGAGAAAGACAGACAGAGAGAAAGACAGGAAGAGAGAGACAGAGAGAGGAAGAGAGAAAGACAGAGGGGAGAGAGACAGAGGAAGAGAGGGGGAGAGAGACAGAAGAAGAGAAAGAGAGAGAAGGGGGCAGAGAGACAGAGAGAGAGGAAGAGAGAAAGGGGGGGGAGAGAGACAGAGGAAGAGAGAAAGAGAGAGGGGGAGAGAGACAAAGAGAGAAAGACAGAGGAAGAGAGAGACAGAGAGAGGGAGAGAGAGAGAAGAGAAAGACAGAGGGAGGGGGAGAGAGGGGGGAGATTGCCATGGCATGTAGTTGAGTGGGCTCCAGTCTTCCACAGGTAGTCCTCGACATACAACACAGTTTGTTTAGAGACTGAAGTTACAATAGTACTGAAAAAATGACTAATGGCCGTTTTTCGTACTTACGACTGTTGCAACATCCCCATGGTCATGTGATCAAAATTAAGACACTCAGCAACTGACTCATATTTATGACGGTTGCACTGTCCCGGAGGTCATGTGATCCCTTTTTGCGACCTTCTGACACTCAACAGGGGAACCAGATTCATTTAACAACCACGTTACTAACTTAACAACTGCAGTGATTTACTTAACAACTGTGAGAAGAAAGGTTACAAAATGGGGCAAAACTCACTTAACAAAAATGTCTCGCTTAGCGATGGAAATTTTGGGCTCGATCGCGGTCGTAAGTTGAGGACTACCTGTATATTCTAAAGCCATATCCAAGTCCTCTTGCTTCCTGAAATTTAAAAGTAGCTTCTTCTCCCTTCTGATAACGTTGCTGTGAAGTTTAGTGCAAGCAGTCCTCGACTTACAACCGTTCATTTAGCGGCAATTTGAGGACAGCACAGCACTGAAAAAAGTTGCAGCATTCCCACATGATCAGACTTCAGGCACTTGGCAACCGGCATGCATTTATCCCAGTTGCAGCATCCCGGGTTCCTCCGATCGCCATCGGCCACCTTCCCAAGAGTCGACGGGAGAAGGTAGATTTGCTTAATGACCTCATGATTCAGCGAACAACTGCAGTGATGTGGCTAGAACCGTTATAAAATTGGGTGTGACTCACTTAACAACGGCCCGGCTTGTTGTTAGTTGCGGTCATGTCCGACCCATCGCGACCCCATGGAAAACGTTCCTCCAGATGATACCACTCTAATGGCAGAAAGTGAAGAGGAACTAAAGAGCCTCTTGATGCGGGTGAAGAAGGAGAGTGCAAAAGTTGGCTTGAAACTCAGCATTAAGAAAACCAAGATCATGGCATCCGGCCCTCTCAATTCCTGGCAAATAGATGGGGAAGAAATGGAGGTAGTGACAGATTTGATCTTCCTGGGCTCCAAGGTCACCACAGATGGGGACTGCAGCCAAGAAATTAGAAGACGCTTGCTCCTGGGGAGGAAAGCTATGGCAAATCTAGACAGCATACTAAAAAGCAGAGACATCACCCTGCCAACAAAAGTGTGTATAGTCAAGGCCACGGTTTTCCCAGTTGCAATGTATGGCTGTGAAAGTTGGACCATAAGAAAGGCTGAGCGCCAAAGAATGGAGGCCTTTGAACTCTGGTGCTGGAGAAGACTCCTGCGAGTCCCCTGGACTGCAAGGCGATCCAACCGGTCAGTCCTAGAGGAGATCAACCCCGACTGCTCTTTAGAAGGCCAGATCCTGAAATTGAAACTCAAGTACTTTGGCCACCTAATGAGAAGGAAGGACTCACTGGAGAAGAGCCTAATGCTGGGAAAGATGGAGGGCAAGAGAAGAAGGGGACGACAGAGAGTGAGGTGGCTGGATGGAGTCCCTGAAGCAGGAGGCGTGAGCTTCAATGGACTCCAGAAGATGGTAGAAGACAGGAAGGCCTGGAGGAACGTTGTCCATGGGGTCGCGATGGGTTGGACACAACTTCACAACTAACAACAACAACAGAGCAAGATATAGGGAGTCCTCAACCTACGGCCAGAATTGAGCCCAATCTTTCCCTTGCTAAGCAAAATGGTGATTGGGAGTTTTGCCCCACTTTATGACCTTTCTTGCCACAGTTGTTAAGCGAACCACTGAAACTAGTTACACGGTCGTNAGCAGAGAAATTGAAACATGGCTTGAAGGTGAAATCAATCCCTCCTGGATAGGAAGTTTTTGTTTATGTGTGTTGGGGGGGGAGACTTGGGGGGGGGGCTGTAGAATGGGCAAACCGAATCAATTGAATCCTCAGATTGAATGGATGTAAATAAATAAATAACATTTATGTAGCCACCCGTCTTTCAGCCAACTCTGGATGGCTCCCAGTTAGGGTAAGTAGTTTGACCTGGAATTGTACAGATTATAAAGTCCTTTACGTACCAATGGAAGATAATTTGTAGCTCGGGGTTCAACTGCGGGGTCCTTGGTGCTCTCTGAGCTTGGCCGTTTTCTTGCAGATGTTTCATGACCAAACTAGGTCACATCGTGATGATTGATATTACCTACTTTGGTCATGAAACATCTGCAAGAAAATTACCAATTTCAGAGAGTACCAAGGACCCCGCAGTCTTCCTCCTTCTCCTCTTCCTCCTTTTCTTCTTCCTCCTCCATATCTCCTCCTCCTCCCCTCCACTCTGCAAACCCCACTCCCACCTAGCACTGACGACGTTGTCTAGTTTGGTAACAAGAGTTTGCAAGAAAACTACTAGGTTTGGAGAGCACCAGAAACCCTACGGTCTTTTACGTTCGAAGTTCAGCCCAGGCCTTTGGCTACATCAGTGTTTCTCAACCTTGACAATTTTAAGGCATGTGGACTTCAACTCCCAGAATTCCACAGCCAGCAATGCTGGCTGTGGAATTCTGGGAGTTGAAGTCCACATGCCTTAAAATTGTCAAGGTTGAGAAACACTGGGCTACATTGTTCTTCAAGAAATTAAAGTAGTATTTGGGGACTAGACCAGGGGTAGGCAACCTTGGCTCTTTTATGACTCGTGGACTTCAACTCCCAGAATTCCTGAGCCAGCCATGCTGAGGGGAAAGGGAGAGGTTTCCAAGCTGAGCCATGCTGGCTCAGGAATTCTGGGAGCTGAAGTCCACGAGTCATAAAAGAGCCAAGGTCGCCTACCCCTGGTCTAGACTGTTCTCTCAGAACTTGGAGTGAGATAGATGGAGCCCCTTGGATGTGTTCATTATTTTGGTTTTCTATCCCAGATTGTGCCAACAAGATCTCATCTTGGTTTTGATTTGTAATTTTTTAACATTATTTGGGGGTTGAAGTATTGGTTAGAATCAGGCAGTAGCCAAACTGGATTAAATAGATAAATAAATTCGAAAGCTAGTAGCAGTGATTCTGAGCCAATCTGTAACTTGCCGTAGACTGTAACCTATCTGAGGGTTATAATTTTATATTAATTAGATCCCCACATACAGAGGCACATTCATTGACATTTTTATTTCTGTTTCCTGTATAAACTCACCTTTGGGTTATTCCGAGCTGCTTTTTAATCTGTGTTTGTAATATGTGTTTGGGTTTTTATTTTTATTTTTTAGTTGATGGAAGTGACTGGGAAGAATCAGGATGACTGCATCGTAGCTCTGCACGATTGTAATGGTGACGTGAACAGAGCAATCAACCTCTTGCTGGAAGGAAGCTCAGATACAGTAAGTGCTCAATTTAGAGTCTTGTAGGTGCTTTAAAAAGTTGCCTTCCTAAAAGATTACTTGTGAGGAAGACTTCCTGCTTTTAGTGAGAAATGTGAAGGCTAAAAAAAAAAATATTAACCATTTCAGGACAAATCTTGCCCTGCTAAGAGCTCAGAAATGTGGAATAATATTTTAATTTTTTTTCCCCATCGCTTTTCTGCAAATATTAAGATTAATTGTGTTCTCCTGGTCCGGATTTGGTGTGCTTTTTAAACTTTTGCTTATTCGTCAAGAAAGCAAAAATTTTAAAACATCGCAATGAACCGTGCAGGAAACTGAAACACCCAACTCCACATTGACTTTCTCATCTTTCTGGGTTCTGAAATTTCAGCAATGTGTAACGCATGCACATTCAAGCATACCTGACCCCGACTAAGGACAAAGAGCTTGCTGTAAAAAAAAAAAAAAGCATATATTTTTACATTACTTAATTATCTGCTCAGCGCCTTCTACTTTGTCCTATTTCTCTCCCCCGTGGAACTGTGCCATCCGTGTGGCTTCCTCTTCCTCCTCCTGTTTATGGTCTAGTACAGTGGTTCTCAACCTGTGGGTCGGGACCCCATTTGGGGTCGATCGACCATTTCACGGGGGTCACCAAGCAAGGCTGTCTGCCATTTTTTTTGTCCGCCATTTTTTTTTCCTTTTCCGGCGGGTGCCTTACCTCCCTTGGGCTGGGCCAGCTGGTGGTCGGCCTGCTCTGTCTCTGCCGCTTGCCAGCTACGCCTCGGCCAGCGCAGGGGGCGGAACCACGCATGCGTGGTGCTCCTGGGCAGGGAAAGTCCTCGACTTACGACTGGTTGGGTAGTCCCCGACTTACGACCGGTTTAGTCCTCGACTTACGACCGGTTTAGTCTTCGACTTACGACCGGTTGGGGTCGCGACATTAAAAAGGTTGAGAACCACTGGTCTAGTACATGATGGCGAACCTTTTAGAGACAGAGTGCCCAAACTGCAACCCAAAACCCACTTATTTATCGCCGGGTGCCGGGTGGGCGTGGCCCACTGGGTGGGCGTGGCTGTGGTGGTCATGGCAGACTGGATGGGTGTGGCCAAGGTGGGCGTGGTCACCTCAATGTTGCTTGTGGGGAAGGACGCCTGTGGGGGCTGGACAGGGTTGAGGGAAATCCAGGGGGTCTCTGGCAGGTGGGGTGGTGGGCAGGAGGCTCGTCCTGCGGGGTGAGGCGAGGCAAGGTGAGGCAGGGCGGGGGTGCCATTGTCGCAGGGCAAGGCGAGGAAGGGGCCGGGGCGGCGGCTGCCCCCGCACACAGAGGCCAGCGAGCGCATGGGGGCCGACAGTGTCCATCAACAGCCACAGCCTGCCGGCCCCTCGACCGCCGCACTCTGGGGCTCCGCAGTCCGCTGCCAGCAGTTCAGAGAAGCCGCCTCTGAGCTGGACGGATAGCCGACAGCTGAGGAGGCGATGCAGTGGGTCGTGCCCAGGAAAAGGAGAGCATGTGAGGCCAGGAGGGATGGGACAGAGGGGAGGGAAACCACCCGTGCTGGGATGCATCCGGCCACATGGGACCTCGGCAAGTTAGCGGGCGGCTGGTTGAAGAGGGACGGTTGCCATCTCCAGGGCATGGCGCGTGTGCCCACAGAGAGGGCTCTGAGTGCCGCCTCTGGCACGCATGCCATAGGTTCACCACCACTGGTCTAGTATGCATGAAGTAAGCCAGGATGGTGTTTTTTTTCCATTGAGATAATGAAAAGTAAAACCCTTGCTCTTTGTTCAGTTAAGAACAGCCTCTTTAATATTCAGTTTGCTTTCTTACTTAAGACAGCCAAGACAACACTGCCAACAGGATAACGGGTCTTTTTCCTTGTTTTCTGGTATATTTAGAAAATGTATATGACTGCCCAACTATGAGTCTAGATCGCCTGTAGAAACACAACCCCAAATAAAAACCCCCAATAAATTCCCCCCGCCTTTCTGGTGACTACCATCCAACAAACCACTTGATGGGCTCCATGTCACGCTGGGTTCCTCAGACCCACGGGCAAAACCAAGTCTTGGGGGCCATTTAAAAGAATGTCAAGGTGGGGGACCAATCTTATCTCCACAGGGATTATGTTCCACAGGGTAGGAGCCACCACAGAGAAGGCCCTTCTTCTTGGTCCCACTAGATGGACCTCCTTAAGAGAAGGCACCTGTAACATCCCCTCCCTCCCCACTCTGGTGGGTTGGGTAGAGATGACTAGGAAGTGAGGGTTCTTCAAATAACAGAGAGAGAGCCACCACGGAGAAGGCCCTTCTTCTTAGTCTCATCAGATCGACCTCCTTGGGAGAGGAGACCCATAGCATTCCTCCCAACCCTGGTGGGTCAGGAAGATGTGACTTTATTTCAGATAAGAACCCCTTAGACTAGAATGTTCTCCAGGAATGCGAAAGGCAGAAGTTCCACCTCCTGTCTTGTCCCAAACCTACATCTACCTTGATGGGAGGCTGGAATTTATACCTCTGCATCTGTTTCCATCTTGATTCTCTACCTAGTAGCATTTGAAGAGAATTCTCTTCCTTTGAAGGCTTATAAACATCTCAGTTTGAGAACATTGTGGGTTTATTAGTGATCACATTGGTTACTGGGGTTTACTGGTTATAAGCTGGAGTCACAATGGTAGTGCATATGGGGTGGAATTCCTCCTGAATGGACACTTCCTAGAAAAAATTATGGTGGTGTATTTATCTTCCATTGCCTATTTTGGGGGCTATGATTCATGCCCGTTCTTCAAGCACCATTGGCTGTTCCTGGAAATAGAATAGAATAGAATAGAATAGAATAGAATAGAATAGAATAGAAAATATGGAATGGCATGGCATGGCATGGCATGGCATGGCATGGCATGGCATGGCATAGAATAGAATATAGAATAGAATAGAATAGAATAGAAAATATGGAATGGCATGACATAGAATAGAATAGAATATAGAATATAGAATAGAATAGAATAGAATAGAATAGAATAGAATAGAATAGAATAGAATAGAATAGAATAGAATAGAATAGAATAGAGCTGGAAGGGACCTTGGAGGTCTTCTAGTCCAGCCCCCTGCTCAAGCAAGAGAACCTATACCGTCTCAGACAGGTAAATGTCTATTCTCTTCTTAAAATTTCTGGTGATGGAGCACCCATGATTTCTGGGGGTAAGCTGTTCCACTATCAGGAAGTTTCTCCTTAATTCCAGGTTGCTTCTCTCCTTGATCAGTTTCCAACTATTGTTTCTCGTCCTTCCCTCTGGTGCTTTGGTGAACAACCTGACCCCCCTCTGCCTTGTGGCAGCCCCTCAGATACTGGAACACTGCTATCATGTCTCCCCTATTTCTTCTTTTCTTTAGACTAGCCAAACCCAAGTCCCGCAGCCGTTCTTCGTATGTTTTAGTCCCCAGGCCTTTGATCATCTCAGTTGCTCTTTGAATTTTTTTCCAAACTCTCAACATCTTTTTTGTGATATGGTGACCAAAATTGGCCGCCGTATTCCAGGTGTGGTCTTACTAGGGTTTTATAAAGCGTTAGTAATACTTTGTGTGATCTTGATTCTATGCCTCTGTTTATACAACCCAGGATTGTATTAGCTCTTTTGGCTGCTGCTGCTGCACATTGCTGGTTCATGGTTAAGTGATCGTCCACTAGGACTCTTAAGGTCCCTCTCACAGTTACTGTTTTTGAGCCAGGTCTTGCCCAATCTGTACTTATACCTTTGATTTTTCCTGCCTAAACGTGAGACTGCTTTTTTCCACATTGAAACTCATTTTGTTGGATAGGGCCCATTGTTCAAGTTTGTCAAGATCTTTTTGGATCCTGAGTTTGTCTTCTGGGATATTGGCTACTCCTGTCAGTTTGGTGTCATCTGCAAATTTGATGAATTCCCCTTCAATTCTCTCATCCAAGTCATTGATGAAGACATTAAAAAGTACTGGGCCTAAGACGGAACCTTGTGGTACCCCACTGCTTACTTCTCTCCATGTGGATGTAGTGCCATTGAGGACTACTCGTTGAGTACGGTTTGTCTTGAGTCAGCTTGAGTTAGACAGCTCTGCTTCCCTTCCAGGAATATCCAATCACCTGGCTCAGGGAATGCATTGTGTGCATTGCATTGTGAGTGAGCAGTTGGATAAAATGCCATTTAGGATTGCACAAGCAAGTGACCCTTTTTTGTCCCCCACTTATCTAGCTCTTGTCTAGCCAGTTGGCACTTTAAGCACTGACAGACGAGCTATTGCGTGGGCTGCATTATCTTCCTCCTCCTACTGAACATAGGAGCACAGGCAGGACCTAACATTTTTGCACGGAAGACCCAAACGTAAAAATGTGTACTATCACCCTCATCTGTGGTCTTACAAAGCAGGAATATGTGCAGTGTCTCCTAGTTTCATGTGTGGTGCAAAAACATGCAAATGTCTTTAGCATTTTGGCTTATTTATTTATTTTTTTTAACTAAGTACGGTATCTTGGAGAGCCCAGCCAGGCTAGAGAGGGTTCTGAATGGCAGGCTGGAGGGAAAAAAAAAGTTCCATTAGGACTAAGGTGTGAAAAAGGGAACACTACTATTTTTAGATTGGGAATGGCCAGTCTAGAGAAAAGAAGAACTAAGGGAGACATGACAGCAGCATTCCAGTATTTGAGAGGCTGCTACAAGGAGGAGGGGGTCAACTTATTTTCCAAAGCACCAGAAAGCAAGACAAGAAACAATGGTCAACTTATTTTCCAAAGCACCAGAAAGCAAGACAAGAAACAATGGATGGAAAGTAATCAAGGCAAGAAGCAACCTGGAATTCAGGAGAAACTTCCTAACAGTGAGGACAATTAACCAGTGGAACAGCTTGCCTTCAGACATTGTGGGTGCTTCATCACTCGAGGTTTTTAAGAAGAGACTGGAAAGCCACTTGTCTGAAATGTTATAGGGACTCCAGCTTGAGCTGGGGGCTGGACTAGAAGACCTCCAAGGTCCCTTCCAGCTCTATTCTGAGTATTATTAATTGTAAAGCATTTCTTTAATTGTAAGCCACTCAGAGTCATTGACAGGAATGGGCACTGTAGAAATTAAATGTATGAATCAATGAACAAACAAACAAACAAACAAACCCTTTTCCCAATATCCTGTTTTTGTTCATCCCTTCCTGGGACTAAAAATACACATAATATCAGAAATAGTTTATCTGTTTGTCTGTCTGTCCGTCCATCCTTCCATCCATCCATCCATTTTCTACAGCCATCCAATTCAACAAAATGACTCTGGGTGGCTTAAAACTCTAAAAACAATTTAAAACAGGGGTGTCAAACTCAATTTCACTGAGGGCCGCATCAGCATTGTGGTTGCCCTGCGGGGTGTGTGTTTGTGGCCAGAGTGGGTGCAGCCTACTGGGTGGGCGTGGATGGAATGGGTATGACCTACTGGGTGGACGTGGCCAGTTCTACATCATTCGCATCATGGGTGCCTGTGGGTGCCTGGGCAGGAGTGGGACAGATCTGAGGGTCTCTGGCAGAAGGGGGTGGGACCGGGGCAAGTGCCAAGGCATGGTCCACCGGGGCAAGTGCCAAATGGCCACCACAAAATTGCACATTGGCTCCCGGCCGGCCTGGGCCAGGGCCAAGGCAGCGGGGGCCGTTCCCTCACTGTTTCCAGGATGGCTTCGCGGGCCACATGAAACCAATTTGCGGGCCGCATCCGGCCCCCAGGCCTTGTGTTTGACATGTCTGATTTAAAACATGAAAAGAATAAAAAATCTGCAAAATAAACCAATACAAAAAGCAGCATGATAATTAATCAACTAATAATAAAGCCAAGTTACGGGGCCCTTTGCATGTTTTGAGCACCAGGCCCGGGTACACAACCAGGTGTTTTAAAGCCTTGGAAAAAGCTAACAGGGGGACGATATTCCAGAGAGCAGGGACTATGTCAGAGAAGGCCCAGCTTGGAGTTCCCGCCAGTCAGCACTCTTTGGCTGACAGGAACCGTAGCATCCAACCTGTTGGATCTAGTTGGGAAGATTAAAAACTCTTGAAAAAAAAGATGACCTTTCAATCGATCCGGTCCCATCGTAGCCTGATGCTTTGAAGATCACCTGCAAGTTAAAAAGACATAAAACAATACAGGTAGCCCTTGACTGGCAGCCCTTCATTTGGTGAACCTTTCAATGTTACAACAGCACCGAAAAAAAGCGACGTACGTCTGTGTTTCACACTTAACGACTGTCGCGGCATCCCTGTGGTCACAGGATCACAATTCAGGCGCTTGACAAATGGCTCGTATTTATGACGGTCGCCCTGTGCCGGGATCGCATGATCCCATTTTTGCGGGGGCTTCTGGCAAGCAAAGTCAATGGGAAAACCAGATTCTTACTAACTTAACTGCAGCGATTCCCTTAACAGCTGAGGCAAGACAGGTCATAAAACGGGGCAAAACTCACTTCCCAACTCTCTCGCCCAGCAACAGAAATGTTAGGCTCGGTTGTGGTCGTAAGCCGAGGACTACCTGTAACATGCCTTTGTAAGAGCACTGCTCCAGCGTGGTCGATTCCTAGATTCTGTGGGTCTTGGGGTGTACCTGGTGCGTGGGAAGGGTCCCGAAATTGCTCCCTGAGAGGTGTTGGAGATTGCGGTTGGGCGATGCTGCTCTGTAAGGCCGTCTTTAAACCCCTTTTGAATTGTTGTTCTGTGTTTTCCCTCTCCGCCTCACTAGACTTCGTGGGAGACGGTAGGAGGCAAGAAGAAAAGCCTTGGAAAAGAGAGCTCAGAAAACAAAGAGAACAGAGAAAAGCGAGGGGACAGAGAAGTCATCCGTGGATGGGGAACTTCCAGCCGACGAGGAAGAGGCAGCCGCGGGCGAGAGTGTAAGCCCAGACTTTGGATTGCTACGCGCATCCCGGCCGTAGTTACTCGCAGCTTACTATTTATTTATTTATTTATTTATTTATTAAATTTATATACCGCCCTATCTCCCTTACGGGACTCAGGGCGGTGAACAGGCGATACTAAAAACCACGATAATAAATAAATAGTTTCTGTTCTAAAATCGAATTAAATAACAGGCCTGTTCTAAAAACACACCCATACAAAAAACCCCCACTGAAACATAATCAAACTACGCCAGGCCGGCCGCACGGAATAGATGGGCCTTCAGGGCTCGGTGAAAAAGGCGCAGGTCCACAGTTGTACGTAGGTCGGGGGGTAGGTCATTCCAGAGGGCAGGAGCTGCCACAGAGAAGGCTCTCCCCCTGGGGGTTGCCAGCTAGCATTGACTGGCCGACGGCACCCTAAGGAGGCCCTCTCTGTGGGAGCGGACTGGTCGAAGGGAGGTGTTTGGTAGGAGGTGGTCTTGCAAATACCTAGGTCCATTGCCATGGAGCGCTTTAAAAGTTGTTACTAACACCTTGAAGCGCATCCGGAAGGCCACCGGCAGCCAGTGCAGCTCGCGCAGGAGAGGTGTTGCATGGGAGCATCTAGAGGCCCCCAAAATCCCCCGCGCAGCCGCATTCTGAACTAGCTGGAGCCTCCGGGTGCACCTCAAGGGGAGCCCCATGTAGAGAGCATTGCAATAGTCCAGACGGGAAACAACTAGGAGCACTTTAGGCTTGAGCTGCTTTGTTGTATGTTTGCAGTAGAGGCTGATGAGAAAACACACACATGCACACATACACAACGACCCTGTGTCAACGCTACAAATACTGTATATTCTTGCTTTGACAATATGCAGAACTGTCTGGTATTTTTATAGTTAAATCAGGCAACAGGGAAAGGGGAGGAGAATATAAGGAAAGCCCGGGGAAAAAGGAACCGGAAGTGAATCACATCTTCCAAGTTAATTGGAAGGTGTGAATCATGACCCCAAAATAGGGGAGGGAAAAATGCCTGAAAGTTCTTTTAAGTGTTTCGTTAATCAGACACATGACATCATGCTAAGATCTGATGTTCTCTTCCGTTGCACATAACATTCCCTGGGAAGACACCTTGGGAAGAAGCTTGAGCCTGATCGGCTTTTGCTGTCCTCCAGAAACTTACCCCAAGATAAGCAGGGATTAATACTAGACAAATAAGGGAAAAGCAGTACCCTAACTCAGAGGTCCCCAACTCCCGGTCCATGGCCCAGTGCTGGGTGGCAGCCTGTTCAGAATTTGGCTATGGAAGTGCTGGGCGTGTGCGCAATGCTGCATTTGTGAAAGGAAAATCTGTGTGTGGAACTATCCCCTCTTCCCTCCCGCTCTGCTGCCCCCGCCTCTGTCAGTCTGCCTAGCCAGAAACGGAGACCGCTCCCCTAACTGAGGAACTACGCCCGCCAGTACTGGCAGGGCAAGCTATGGAGCAAACCCCACACTTGGTCCGAACTTATGATGTGATCTGGCTGGGTTATGAAATGTCTGCAAGAAAACCACCAAGCTCAGAGAGCACCAAGGACTCCACAGTTCTCCTCCTCTTCCTCCTCCTCCTCCTCCTCCTCCTCCATCATTCTGCAAACCCCACTCCTTCCATGCACTGATAACATTCCCTAGTTGGGTCATGAAATGTCTGCAAGAAAACCAACAAGCTCAGAGAGCACCAAGGACTCCACAGTCGTCGTCGTCCTCCTCCTCCTCCCCCCCCCCCACACATCCCACTCCCTTCTAGCACTGATGATATTATCTAGTTTGGGTCATGAAACATCTGCAAGAAACCACCAATCTCAGAGAGGACCAAGGACTCCACAGTTCTCCTCCTCCTCCTCCTCCTCTCTGCAAACCCCATTCCTTCCATGCTTTGATAATGTTCCCTAATTGGGTCATGAATGTCTGCAAGAAAACTACCAAGCTCAGAGAGCATCAAAGACCCCCCAGTTTAACCCTGATCTACAAATACTCTCTTCTATCAGAAAACAGAAAACTCCCAGCCCTAAATCATTTAGGTAAATGAAAGCATGAAAATGTGGAACTAGATGAATAGAAAGAGACTACAGGTTGCAAGTTGGTGGAAAAACGAACTTGCGCTATTAAACAAGCGTCGATTATCACAGGCTTAACCACATTGATCTTAGGACAAAGACAATGGGAGCAGTCACCTTTGCCTCCCAATTCTTGCACCCTTGCTCCTTTCCCCTCCTGCTATCTTGCTCACGTTTGCGTGCGGTTGAAAATATCTGACTAAACTATCTAAAAACGAAATGTACGTTCTGAGATTATATTTCTGCATTTCTCTCACATCTAGTTAGAGTCGAAGAAAATGGAGTAGAAATGCCACCTGGCGAACGGCCTTCCGATCGTGGGAAACGTGGAAAAGGGAGAGGTAAAGTACCGGTATTTATATGCCTTAACTGCTCATGTTCCAGGGGGGGTTAAGCCACCTTTTACATATATATATATTTTAAAAGAAATCCACCTCAAAAGGAACAGTTTGGGTGAAAAGCTTCCACAGTGCATTTTCTGCAACTTCTTGGACAGAAGGTCTGCGGAGGTTTGTCCGCTTACGTGTTTGGGAATGTATGTTGTGTCTAAAGTATGTTGTGGCCAAGAAGAACATCTTAAAAATAATAAAAGCATTGCCCGACGTGCCTATAAGTGACTTCAACTGATAGAATTCCTCCTTTCTCAGATAACCACAGAGGAGTGCAGGCTAAAACTGTACAGGTAATCCTCAATTTATAGCCATCGTTGAGCCCCAAAATTTCCGTTGTTAAGTGACACATTTGCTAAGTGAGTTTTGCCCTATTTTAAGACCTTTCTTGTCAGAGTTGTTAAGAGAATCACTGCAGTTGATAACTTAGTAACACAGTTGTCAACTGACTCTGGCTTCTTCGTTGACTTTGTTTGACAGAAGGTCGCAAAAGGGGATCATACGACCCCGGGACCCTGCGACCGTCATAAATATGAGTCGGACGCCAAGGGTCTGAATTTTGATCATGTGATCGTGGGGATGCTGCAACAGTCCTGACCATGAAAAACAGTCATAAGTTACTTTTTTAACAGCTGTTGTAACTTCCAACTGTCACAAAACAAACTGTTGTTTGTTTATAATAATAACTTGGAGGTCATCTAGTCCAACCCCCTGCTCAGGCAGGAAACCCTATACCGTTCCAGACAAATGGCTGTCCAATCTCTTCTTAAAAACTTCCAGTGTTGGAGCATTCACAACTTCTGGAGGCAGGTTGTTCCACTGGTTAATTGTTCTCACTGTCAGGAAGTTTCTCCTTAGTTCTAGGTTGCTTCTCTCTTTGGTTAGTTTCCATCCATTGCTTCTTGTCCTGCCTTCTGGTGCTTTGGAGAATAGCTTGACTCCCTCTTCTTTTTTGGGCAGCCCCTCAAATATCAGAAAACTACTATCAGGTCCCCCCTTGTCCTTCTCTTCATTAAACAAGACATACCCAATTCCAGCAGCCTTTCCTTATATGCTTTAGCCTCCAGTCCCCTAATCATCTTTGTTGCTCTTCTCTGCACTCTTTCTAGAGTCTCAGCCTCTTTTTTACATCGTGGTGACCAAAACTGGATGCAGGATTCCAAGTGTGGCCTTACCAAGGCCTTGTAAAGTGGTATTAATACTTCACGTGATCTTGATTCTATCCCTCTGTTAATGCAGCCCAGCACTGTGTTGGCCTTTTTGGCAGCTGCAGCACACGGCTGGCTCATATTTAAGGGATTGTCCACTAGGACTCCAAGATCCCTCTCACAGTTACCACTATTGAGCAGGGTACCCCCCCCATACTATACCTGTGCATTTGTTTTTTCTTGGACTGTGTAGAAGATTATGGAGGCTTATCAATAAAAGTGCCTGGTAAACTGCCCCTGAATAACTTTTTATTTTCTTCTCCCATAGTGAAATGTAAAATAAAATCCTTGGCTTGGCCAAGCATTGAAGCCAGCCACTGCGGCCCAGGATGCTAATCTCTTGATACTAAAAGCAAAGTCCTTCCATATTTTTAACTTCTAAGCAATGCAGGATTACAATACGGACTGGCCCCACAATACTAATCTACTGGGACAAACTCAGTTTCACGATGCCTTTGTTTTCTGCAACAAAGACTTCATCCGAGGAAGAAGCCAGAGGACACAATCTCTGTGCTTTTCCCTGAGTGAGCCGCAAAATGCCCGTTTCTCAGCAGAGCAACTGGCCTGGCTGTCCCCTGCCAGCTGCCCGTCAGCCCTGGGGTCCAGAAGCACAGCTGGGAATGTCAGTTACGGCAGAGGGCTGGGCTGCTGGACTTGACATCCTGGCAGAGAACTTGGCAGCCCAAGCAGGCATGTTTGTCAACATTTGTCAGCGGAGCTTCTCAATCATCCAGGTCATGGTTGTCCTAACGGTGCTTTTCAAAAGGCAATTTGGACTTTTTTTTTCCTTTGAAAACGTTTCGCTCCTCATCCAAGAAACTTCTTCGGTTCTGGCTGAGTGGTGGTGAATGGAGGGATTTAGAATAGAGGAATATTTGAAAGCATGGGTCCTCAACCCCCGGTCTGTGGCCCACTACACCGGACCGTGGAGAGGGTGGATTGGTTCATACTTATGAGTGTTGCTGTGTCCCAAAGTGATGTGATTGCCTTTTGCAGCCTTCTGAGAAGCAAAGTCAGTGGGAAAGCCAGATTCACTTAACGACAAAGAGCAAAACCCACTTCCTTCTAGCACTGACGTTGGTACCTAGTTGGGTCACGAAACTAGGCACAAGAAAACAACTCAGCACGGAGAGCACCAAGGAATCCACAGTTCAACCTTCAGCCTCGAATAATCTCTTTCTTTCTTTTTATTGGTCTTGTGGCTTTTTTAAACTGACCCTTGACAGGTTTGATCCTGCATTCCCACATCTTGGAAAAAACCAGATTCTCGCAGGATAACAATTCTTCCTCTTGTCTTCCTTATAAATATTAGTTCTACCGAGTTATCTTAATCCTAAATCTGGTTCTGCTTCCTTGTCCAAGATGCATTTTATTCTTAGAAGGAGGGGGGGGGAAAGTGCTTTTTTTTCTTTCCTTGTTTTTCCTCTCGAAATTCCGTTTATCCACTTTGCCCTTTGAAACTAAGTTCTTCCTTTTTTCTGTAGGATTTGGACGAGCCAGAGGAAGAGGAACTGGGAGATTTTCAGCCCAAGGCATGGGGTAGGTTTTTAATAACAGCTTGTATTTTAACTAAATGTGGACCAAACAATACTGCTTAACCGTACATGGTTGGAAATTCTGCAGATTTTGTTGAGCAGGGCCTTCTGCCTCCTTTATTCCTCTTAGCAAAGGAACTTGATAAAAGGACAAAAGCAATCTAAATCAGAAATCTGGGAAGTCAGACTATAATTCTTTCTTAGGCATGGAAGCAGTTGGATGACCTTAGACCATCCATTCCCTCTCAGACCCCTTTGATGAACTGACTGATCAATAAAATCTCATTGCAATAGCAATAGCACTTAGACTTTATATACTGCTTCACAGTGCTTTACATCCCTCTCTAAGCAGTTTACAGTCAGCACATTGCCCCCAATAATCTGGGTCCTCATTTTACCGCCCTTGGAAAGATAGAAGGCTGACCTGGTCAGGATCGAACTCCTGGCTGTGGGCAGAGTTAGCTTGAAATACTGCATTCTAATCACTGCGCCACCGGGGCTCTTAAATCATGCATTGATAGCTTGTCTATAAGATCTGAGTGAATACAGTTCTGAAACAGTGGTTCTCTTGTGAAGTCCCTGGTGCTCTCTGATCTTGTTTGCTTTCTTGCCGATGTTTCATTACCCAACCAGGTAACATCATCAGTGCTAGAAGGGAATTGGGTTTGGTCTCTGTTTATGTACAAGTGTTGGTGGTAGTGGACTTGGTGGTTCCTTGACTAGGCAGTTGTTTACTGTGGGGTCCTTGGTGTTCTCCGAGCTTGGTGGTTTTCTTGCAGACATTTAATTACCCAACTAAGTAACATCACTTTTAAAAGGTTTGCTCTGTGTTCTTTTGCTATTTTTGCTTTAGTGATCTTTGATGATTTTGATCTTGTGTTTATTGCCCAGAGTCACAATTGCAAAGTGGGCAGCTTGCTATAATAAGTAAAGTGGCAGTGAATAAGCCATCATATAGAGCCAATGCTAAGAAGAACAGCAAGAACATTTTGTTAGCAGATCTGCTTGAATGGACACAAATATCCCAGCAACCTTGACATTTAAAGGAATTGTTTTCAGTGCTGACTAATAAATCTAAGGAGAACTATTTTGTGCTAACTCTACTGTCTTCTCCCTCTTTCTCCACACCCACACAAAGTTTTCCAATTCCCTTTTCAACCTGGACATTTCATATAAAAGTATCAATATTGCCCCACTGATCTACTACTTGGTCTACTTTATGGATGTTTTGTTTTAGACAGTTTTGAGTGTGACGACCCACAAAACATTCCACTTGGTAAAATGTCCTGTATTTTGGAAAGGACCAGAACAGTTCAAAAGGAAATGTTTTTCAGATTCATACAGGCAATTAAATTAAAACAGTTTTTTCTTTTCTCCCTATTCATCCTACTTCCATGGATGTTAAACATGGAAGGTTCCTGGATATGGCCAATCTTGGTGGCCCTTGCATGGTCTTGATTCCTCCAGAAAGCACATGAGATCCTAACTTCAATCCCCAGAAGTAGTGGGTTGAAAGACTGATCTGAAAACAGGACTCATCTACAACATACAGTGTAAAGACTGCAACCGCCACTATGTAGGACAAACAGGCAGAAGACTAGCAGAGTGCATTCATGAATACCAACTAGGAGTCAGAAGACAGGATGAAAACTCTTTAATTTCACAACATATGGACACTCAACCATAATTTCAACTGGGAAACCGACCACCCTAGACCAAGCCAAGTCCAAAAACGCTAGACAATTCTTGGAAGCCTGGCAAATTGGCCATGGATAGAAATAAACAACATCTACATACTGTGCAAAAGAGACAATCAACAAACCAAAAAGGGATCAAAAAGACCAAAACAACTCCCCACCAGCAATCAACACCCAGCTGAGCATAGATTAACACCAAGATTAACATCAGTCCAACAGTCAAGGAACTGCCAAACAGGCTAACAGTAAACAACCCAAACAACAAGACCACTCCCACCAGGATTGACAGGGCAATATAAATT